TAGTTCGTTGCATGTCTTATTTTGTGCATATATATATTTATATAAATTATTTTTAAAAAAATTTATTGAACTGAAGTTGAACTGGTCCGACCGATTGAACCTCAACCCTTTCACCTCACCGGTTCAATTGACGGTCCGGATTTTAAAACATTGCTTGTGAGTGACTTCCAAGCATGTCCAGCATGAAGGTCAGCTTCATCACGGGCGCCGAACATTGTGTCAGAAGATGACCGGTCCTAAGATTTGTGCCATTTCCGACGCTGGTCTATCATCGTTGGCAGTTTCTTATTTTCATTGTATTTTCTTAGGATTTAGTAATAGTTCATTTCCTATTCTAATTAAATGTTTGGGAGTTTTTTAGTTATCAAATAACTTATTGGACAAGTACTTCTAACCTATAAATAGGCATACTTAGGTCTTTGTAATTATTACTCCTTTTATCAATTATTAATGAAATTTTGATTGGATGCTCCAATTGTTAAGACATTTCTCTCATTATTCTCTAATTTTTTATTCGTGTTTCGGAATTTGAACGTTATTCCACCCTCTATTCTTTTATGAATCTCGTTTGTGAAACAAATTCATTCTACATGCTTCTACCGCATCAGATTCCCACATTTAACTTGCGGGAATCAAATAGACCTCCACAGTTTTTTAAATTCCGAACGTAATTAGTCGACCAGCTGTCCATTTGGTAATGTGCCTGTTCACAATCCAAAATGTGCTTACCAACCATCTTTTACTTTTGTTAATTAAATGTTTGTCTTTCAAAACTCCAAAGCTCAATCAACAAAAGTCGAAGTTTAATTGAGGGCACTACCGAAAACAACTGCATTGGTACTTGATATGTTTTCATCGTATGCTTCATTTCTTAAACTATTCACATAGCAATAATGAGATATAAAATGATCGATCTGGGCTATATGACAACGAAAAAATAGTAAAAATTTCTCAAATGTGCGCTTCAAGGAGGACTTGATAAAGATGAGCAGTCTTCTAAGAGTATCAATCGTGAGATGCATGTACTACTCCAAGTCCAAGCATGAAATATACCCTTTTTTCTTTTTGGGTGAAATGTGCTTGTACGGGCATGACTGATAATCTTAAGTTGGAAATATTGCATCCTCTTATGCAGGTTTTGTGTTAGAGCACATCCTTCTGCAAATTTTTCCAGCAATACTGCTCATAATTATAAAACTTGTTAATATGAACCCAATTGAGAGGGATATTGTTGGGATCAAGATGCAGACAAATAGAAAAACCGGTTGAGAAAAAATTATATTAGAAGACTAGTATATATAAGGGTAAAGTACAACACCTCTCACCAAACTTTTTCAAAACTTCATTTAGTGTGCTGCTATTCATTTTTTTGTTGGGCAAATTACACTTTACCCTTATGTGGTTTAGTATTTTCTTACATATCTCCATATGGTTTCAAAAATACCCCTATATGTAAAGTTGATAATTATTTATTAATCACAGGGGAATTATGTATATATATTGAAAATCATAAAGAGGTTATATAGTAAAATTTAAAATCATACGAGATTAAAATGTCATACATATTATGTTTATATATTTTAGTCATGTCAACCATTTTAGTTTTTAAACAAGAGTAATTTTGACATTCTTATAGGTTCTGTTACAGATGATCATTTTCGTCACTTTGAAACTTTAATCCAAACTATAATGGATTTATATATAGTTTTTAAAATTATACGGTAGTTATGTAAAAATTAGCTATATCACAGGGGATAAAGTGTAATTTGCCCCCTTTTTTTTGTGTCAAATGACTCGCTAGACTCTTAAAGAGTGTTACCATTGCGGCGCCATTGCATCTATTTTTCTTGGTCAATTGCAGGAGCATTTTCATCACTCTGTAGACAAATAATAGTACGATGGGTTAAATAAGATTGTAGAAAATTTAGTGACCGTTTGCATATCTTTTGAAAATTCTTCTTGAAACTAAATTAAGAAGGAAAAATAAGAATAAGAAACTTATAACACAAGCAAGCATTGCATTCCTATTTTTTAGGGGTATTTTAGCAAGAAACTAACTTGGTCAAATGCTTCCTTCCCTTCCTCCTAACTGTCATTGCTCACTACCACTATTACACCCTCTATCACTCCCTCCCCTTCCTCCTCTCTCCCTTAGCTCCTTCCTCCTCTTTCCCTCCCTCTCCCACTCCTCTCTACTCCATTCCCACCCATTATCATGACCAGATCGGATTGTGCCCTGGGGCGTAACGAGATCTATAACAGATCCTATCTAGATCAAATTTGGTTGCTGGGGGTTGAAGGAGTAGGGGGGAGAGGGGCGAAAGACAGCGGAAAGGGGGAAAAAGAGGTGGAAGGAAGAGGCCGGAGAGGATAAAGGGAGAAGGAATTGGCAGTCGGAAGGAGAAATAGCAGCAATAGTTATGGGTCGTGGGTGGGCTTGGAGCTATGAGAAATTGAGAACACCTAAAAAAACAACTAAAAAAAAAAACAAAAGTACACGTTCTAATAGTTTTTTTAAACAATTCTTTCTACAGTAATATTTTGTAAAAATATCCTGAAAACATCCAATCATGTGAAGGACAAACAAGAACATTTTCAAATTCAACGGGTCACCATTGCAATTTGCTGATCAGATACTAAGTATAAGACAAAGCATACTAATTATTGTCAAGGTGAGTTGGCCATCAAACAAAGCATAAGATACAAGTATAATTCTAAGGGTGCATTTGATAAATCTAAAATTTAAAATTTGAATTTAATAAAATTATTGAATTGTTAAATATTAAATCTAACACATTTGAGTGCATATCACATTCAATGATAAGTGAATAGTTTATCACTTAATTTTGGGAGCAAGTTTTACCTAGAAAATTCAGTGCTACTTAATTAATTCATATGTTCAATTTTTTGTTATCAAACGGTCTAAATATCTTGAGATGAATCCATTAAATTTAAGTGTTGAATTGGATTATCAAACGAGGTCTAAGTTAGGGTTTCAAATATCTGTATTTGCAGTAAAATTCAAAAGATGTATAATAGTGCATGATTTTGATCTAGAAATGAGTTCCTCTCCCACCTTAATCTCTTGGCTCAATTTGGCTCTAGCATGAATTAAAGTACGAATAATATAGATGTTATCTATTGACAAAAATGACTCTAAAATAAATTGAAATAAGAGCAGCATAAATGTTAACGATTAAAAAAAAAAATCTATGCAAGTTGAGGCTCGACTTTCGAGCCAAGCCGACTACACTACTAGTTCACAATAAAGTGACGGAAACTCATTCACGCAAAGTTCCCTTCTTTGTCAAGGTAAATCAGCGGTACCTTAGAACCCTCAGGTGATGGCTATTATTGATGAAGAAAGTTAACTCTATAGGCTAAAGGGCTTCTGTAATCGACAGCACCATACCGTATGCAGAACAAATGCACAAACCACGATGGTACTGGCTAAAACAAGTAAAACATGTACAATAATATATAATTTTTAGTTTAAAACTTTGAAAAACGTGTAAAAATTTGTTGTTATACACTTGTCAATTTGTTATGCAAATCCATAATATTTATTGTGCTTGTACACATATTGTAAAGTCCAATCTGCCCACAATTTTAGTGAACATGAGAATTTCACCTAATAAAACCATGATACACCACCAACGACCATAAATAAACACACATACACGTAAAGCTCACCAAGACTATTGCTCTAAAGTTCACCAACGGCTTTTAACCACTTCATAATTTTTCTTTATCTACCAATAACCATAAATAAACACACACACACACCACCTAAGGGAAACCCACAACCCAACCCAAAAAGCATGCTGACTTTCAGGCTACACCGAAGATTTTAAGTAGTACATACACACCATTCACAATCGATGTGGGATAGAGGGGAAGGGAGAGGGGAGTAAAACCATGATACACCAGAAAAGTCGAAAGCGATAGTGGTTAAAGCCAGTGAAAATTCACAAGTAACTGAGCACGTACTGCAAAATCCAGTTTGCTTACAAATTTATTGAAAAGGGAATTTCATACGATAATATCAGAACCTTGTATACCCAAAAAGTCAAATTCTACGGTGGTTAAAGCCAGTGAAAATTCATGAATAACTGCCTAAAAAGTTAAAATCCGCATTCTTAATTTTAACTGAACTGTGACACACACAGTTAGCTTTTAGGGAATGCACGCTTAAGGACTCATATTGTAGTTAGGGTCGCGTTTTGATTCCTATTTTCTAAATTTTTTGTAAAAAAATATATTATAACGATTTGATGTATATATAATTAAAAAATATATTGATGAAAAATGTAGAAATGTGTTCTGGAACAAAAAAAGGTATCTGAATTAACACTTAATTAAGTACTTGGCTTCCTCAATAGGCATTAGTAGTACCTAAAGATAATTAAAGCCGATGGGAAAAGCCAGAAAACCACATATAGATAAGAGAAAAAGAGAATATTCTACTTTCTTTTTTGGACTAATTCTATTTTGCACCACTCTATTATAATCTAATATCTACTTTGGTCTCTAAATTGTAAATGAGGACAGTTTTAGTTCCTAAACTATATATACCTTGATTCCTACATTGATCCTAATCTCTAAAGTGAAATGTTTTAATCTCTAAACTAAATTTTGATTCTTAATTTGGTATCTAAACTTTCCTCTTCCCTATAATTTTGAGATTTTGTGGGACAATTTTTATAGTTTAGAACTAAAAAAGTGTCCCAATGTATAATCAGGGACCAAAGTAAGAATCGACGCATAGCTGAGGGGTGCAAAATGAAATTAAACCTTTTAAAAAAAATTTTTTTTTTTGAGCAAGGAAAATCCTACTTGAAGGAACAGCTGATTCTCTCTTTCATATGCACTACTGACTACAGCCTAAGCCTTGATCCTATGGCAGTATAACAAGTCACTCTCACTCTTAACACTGCGTGTACTCTCCGGGTGTTTAGTGTGTGTGAGAGAAAGCAAGATTACCAAAAGGCTGAAAACTGATTATGCATTCTGTCACGCCCGCTCAGAAGCTTTGAATTCATCTTCTGGAGATTTGTGTGGGTGGAAGAGGGCATTATAGTGTGGTTCAAACGAAGCCCAGAAGGCAAAAAACTTCTATATCCCATTTCAGTATGAGAAGAAATTTGGTTTGGTTGCTTTTGAGCTTCATTTTTATGGAATGCTGGTTAGGTATGTTTTCTCTCTGTCTTGTTCTTTGTGTTTTTATTTTTCTTTTTCTTTTTTAATTTTCTTCCTCATTGCATTCCTTGTTTGTTGGTGTTTGTGCTTTGTTTTTAATTTATTTTTTTCTTGAGTTCTTTTTTCAAAAAAAAGTCATGTTTGCAGCATGTTTTTTGTGGAAGAAATACTTTGGAAGAATGCCATTTTGCTGGTATTGTTTGTGTTTTGCTAGTGCTTTATTTTATTGTTGTGGAAAAGACAATATATGTTCCAATAGAGGAAAAAGAAAAAAAAAAAGGGAAAATGAGTTGAAAATCATGTGTTAAGAAGTAGTATTATGTTCTGCATTACTTATTATGTGAGATTTGCTTATAGGAAAACTTATCTTCTTTATTGATGCATGTATTGTGGTTTTTCTGACAGAAATTTCTTCTTGTTAGGCTGTTACCTCTATTTAAAATGCCATAAAAGGAAAAAAAAAAAAACCTTAATTGAACAGTTGGTTTGACCAAGCAAACAACCCACAATTAAAATAAAAAAATATTAGTGTCATTGCATGTTAATCTAATAACAGAGATTAACATGTTGATTATCAAACAATCTCATTTTTGTGTTTTTTTTGGGGGGGGGGGGGTAAATTGTTAGTCTTATAGTGTGACATGGTGCTCTAGTCTAGAAAAGGGACAACAAAAGGTTGTCCCAAGTACTTTTAAGAGTGTGGAATAGAGGTAAATGATTTTTTCATCATATTCAGATCTAACTCCTGAAAAAATTTTAATTTTAGATATTCTGTCCTAAATCTGAATCTTAATGTTAATATTGGAAATAAAACCTCGTTCTTTTTTTAAAAAAATATTTTTCCTAGCAAGGAAGGGAAGGGATGTGATTTAAGAAGCGAGGACGGGAGGGAAAGGGAGATTTGAACCCAAGGCTTTTAATAAAAGGCCATAGAAAATGGCCATTCCTTAATATCAACAGTTGGGAAACACAGAAATCTTTTGAACTATTAGATATTTGGAAAATTATCCCACAAGAGCTGGACAGTAATTACCAGTGTGTGTTAACTTTAGTTATGCAGGGATGTTATGTTAGGAAGATTGTTTTGTACTTTAGCAAGCTTATATCTTCTTGTGTACATTTTTATTTTCTCATTCTGGCATAGCAAGTTCCACTTTTTAACTTATTTATTTATTTATTCTGGCATAGCAAGGTTCACTTTTTTCTTTTCTTTTTAGCAGCTCAATTGCTATAGTAAATGAGAGTACAATTTTATTAACAAAGAAAATAAAAACATAGAGATATTTTCAATTATGACACACGAAAGGTAAGTGCAAGCTAAAATGTGAGCAAAAATGGATTGATAACTTTTGAGAACAATTTTTATTTCTTAGTTCTCATTTCCTCTTTTGCATATTTAAGTTCTAGCCACATATATATATATATATATATATATATATATATATATATATATATATAAATGTATATATAGAACTAATCTTTTCTATACTGTCAGTGTATGCACTGACGAGTCTAAATGCCGATTATATCATCTCAATTTAAATTTAAACACCAAACTTTGAATGTGTCATATATTTATATATACATGTGTGTGTGTCTGTGTGTGTGGGTCTGAGAGAGAGAGAGAGAGAGAGAGAGAGATTATGTTAAAAGTATTTATCCTCTGCTATTTTGGTTTTCTTGGGCCAATAGTTGGGGCTGCTATTGGGGCCATGGTCCAAGAGAAAGCAGAAGCAGCAACTCCCCTTACAACACCATCACCTCCAGAAGGCAACACAACCTTCTTGGATGGGACAACTTGGTGCGTAGCCCTTGCTGGGGTGCCTCAAATGGATTTACAGAATGCTTTGGACTGGGCATGTGGGCCTGGTAGGGCTGATTGTAGCCCAATTCAAACTGGTGGCCGATGCTTTGACCCCGATACACTTCTGGCCCATGCATCTTTCGCTTTCAATAGCTACTACCAACAAAATGGGAATTCTGATATTGCTTGCAATTTTGGAGGAGCAGCCACCTTAACCAAAAGTAACCCAAGTGAGTTTAAAGTTCTATGCTAAACTGATGGCATTTTTTTATGCCTTTTTTTTTTTTTAGTTTGGTTAGATTTTTCTATGTCAATCTCTTAATAATGGAATGTTTATGAGTTAATTTCATGAAATTGAGAATACATGAAAAGAATAGAATATAGAAGACATAATATAGACAGAACCAAAAAATTTCCTTTGAGGAAGCGAACTTTAATTCAATTAAATCTTAAGTACGTACCTTAAAATATTCTTTATTTTTTTCGGCCGCAAAAGTTAAATCTATAAAGAAAATTGTTTGAAAATTTTAATTTCTTAATGGATAAAAACTCAATTTTTTCCAAAAAGGCAAAAAACTTGGGGGCCCAAGGGCTCTCCCCCGCCACCCGCTACTTCCGTCCCACCCATCCCGGCCCAAAAAATAGGCCTTTGGAGAGAATATTTTTCTCGAGTTTGGAAGTTAAATCTATTTGATTAAAAGTTGATAACCTTTTAATCTTATTATGTGTGTGACCCTCGAGGGGACAAATTGATATTTAGTTTTAAAGAACCAAAATCTAGATATCTGCTCAATCTCATGATTTTTATTGCAGGTTATGAGGAATGCAGCTATGACACGTCTGGGTATGTTCATCAATTCACATGTTCATTTTGTGGCCATCTTATTGTATATTTCTTTCTATTTGGGGTGTTGAGGAAGAGAAGAAATTGAATATGTTTGTTTTTTTTTTATATTAATTTTACTCCAATATTTTCATGCAGGTCCATAAAATCCTCAGCCCCACAGTTATCAAACCATAAACCGCAAATTACTTGGTGGAAGCTTGCCATGGTAGTTCTTCTGTTGTATGCAAGAAATTAATCAATGGTAGACTTGCCATGGTAGTTCTTCTGTTCTTCTGTTGTATGAAAGAAACAAAAAGGGGCTGAAAACTATACCCTTATCCTATCAACCTCACAAATGTGAAGTGTCAATGAGAAACAAGGATAAATAATACTGAACTCCCTTCTAGTATTTCTAAAAGCCACTCACCTCCCTTCTTAATTTTGAAATAACAAGGGCATCCTATTTATATTGCTATATATTATCAATCACCTTCCCTATTGGCTCCTAGATTTTTAAATCACAAGGAGCTCCTCTCTAAATTGCTATATATTATCAACCACTTTTCCTATTGGTAACTAGATTGATAACGAGAGTTAACTAATCTTTTCATTAATACGCTCTTACATTTCCAAAATGCGCTCAAAATGACATCTTTTATTCTTTTCCACAAAGTTGAACATTGATAGCCGGTAAACTTTTCTTTTCTTTAGCTCTTTTGGCAAAATTGAACATTACAATGCATCAAAATTCAATAAAGTAAAGTAAAGAGTGCATAGGTAACAATATAATATCCAAAGCTTTCGTACATTTGTAAGACATACCAAGATTGTATATTTAGTGCATAGGGGTTGAAAAAGTATCTAATTGCAGGGACTATCAAGATATGTAGAAATTGAAGTTTTGAGTAAAATGTGCAAAGTAACTGTGAGTTGCGTATCAAATAGGGATAATTTTATAAGCCTTCCTTGAGGTTTTCGACAAATTTATTCTCTTTTCGTAAACTTTTAGAAATATCACTTACTTCCCCTATTAGCAATTTGGGACCCATAATTTACATCATTAATGGTGAAATGACTCTAATATCCTTATAACTTAAGATATTTTACGCATATTTATAGAGAGAAATAATTAGATGAAATTCTCTCATTAAGATGAAAAGTATCTAATTACGCATATTTACTCATTGGGTATAGTATGAAGTATGGAAAAATAAAAATAACCTATAAAGATTTACTACCTCTTATGATAGAAGAGTTATCTCATTATTGGCTACTTATAGAAGTATAAATCAAAAAATATTAGATCTAAATGAAAAGCTCTTAGAAACATGTTTCGAGATACTTATTCATTAGAGTTTTTTTTTTTGGCACAAAGAAATAATATTACTTTTAGTGGAATAAGTACATATTTCATATAATAAGACTAATATGAAATAAGTATCATAAAGGAAATTAATTATACGGGAAACATTTATTGATAGGTGAAATTATCTACTTGACTTTTCTCATTACTTGGGTGGTCATGATGCATTGCTAAATACCAATCTTGATCTATAAAAATAAGTTAATTGATTAGTTGAATCAATAATAAATTAAAAGTGTTTAATTTATCTAATTTTTATTAAGAATTTTAATTTATACTTATAATTATTGCTAACACTATGAGAAACATAATAAATCATATGCATTAAGAACTTTATTTGTTAGATTAAAAGAAATTCAAGTGGAAAGTTGCATGATAAGTTTTAATAGCTTATAGTTTAATTTGTGAGACAGGTTAAATTTGAGAGACTTAATAGTGCAAATATAGTTGCGTTTTCTATAACAAGAGTTATATTTAAAGATGGAAATCTAATCTATTCGGAAATAAGTTTTTATATACATCTGGTAACCTATTTTTCTACAAATACTCTCATAGGTTAGACTAACAAGACTAATCATCAACATCGATTGACTTGTGTAAGATTTCATAAAAATCTAGAGAGAAAAAAATGAAGAAAATTGGCTCCTTAGAGAAAGAATACATCGCTTCTTTCTCTCTCATATTCTACCAATTCTAAAGTTTAATAAGCTTTAGGGTTTCTTCATCTTCTCTATCCATAACTCGTGAGTTCTACTTTTAATTATAAACTAGCACTTTTTTAGTTAGGCAATCTCTACATTGGAGATTCAAGTTAAAGAAATTTGTTTAAGGAGAAGACAGATCTCTACAATTCCTCTTTTTTAATTTCAATCATTAAGATGAAGATTTTTGTGGGAAAGAGGAAAAATTAAAGAAAGAAGAAAGAGGCAAAGAAAATAAAAGAGCACACAAGGGGAAAGGAAAAAAAATAAAAGAGAAAAATAAGAATTTAGAATAATAGAGGGATAATTTTGTCCAATGGGGGATAAAGTGAGACAAAAAAATGGTTAGGGGTTATAGTGAGAAATGAGGTAAGCATTTTTTTTTTTTAATGCATTATCATCTTATTAATATTACAAATAAAGAGCCCATTTTTTTTTGTTTCACAACAAAAGAAAAACTTTTGAAAGTAAAAGAATGGGCAAAACCATGCAAGAAAACAATAGTATAAGCAAGAATATATTCAAACAAATTAGACAAAAATAATGGAAATTTTGTAGAAAAAAGTATTAAAATTAACCTAAAACATATTTACTCACAGTGGAAGGAAAAACAAATGAGCAATATTTGATCTAAGTTAAATATTCGTTGATTTGAGGAAGGAAAACAGAATGTGAGAATTGAAAAATTAAAATCACAGAGGTTGTATATGTTTCTCAATATGAGAACTGAAGAATAAAAGTGGGAAATGGTAAATGGTAAATTAAAATTACAAAGTTGCATATGTGGATTTATGGAGTCCATACTTTAAGATATGCTGTGTATATGTATGTGTTGAAGGTTATTATTATTAATTTAGTTTTAAATTTTAAATTTAGAAAGGAAACTATCTATATTTTGGTGTTATTTAAGGACGCAAATGAAACAGCAATTTTTTTTTAAAAAAAAAAATTTTAATGTGTCAATAACAGGTTGAACATGTCAACTCATGGATAAACCCATTACAAGTCATTTTATTTGCATATTATGTAGGGGTGAGCATAAATCAGTACGCATCGATTTACCTTCTGAATTCAAATTCATAGTTTTACATGCATATCTTTATATATCCTCAATTATCATATGACTATAATAATATAAATATTAGTATGTGTAATATAATTATAAATTATTAGATACATTTGTATACACAATGAGTTAGTAACATATTACATAGAGTAATTGTATTGTTATTTATCATATTCTATACAATTCTTAATTCTACACCTATGTACCAATTATCATATTTGTATATTTAATATAAGTATTTAATAACAATCTTATCCTTATAGCTGCCCCCCCCCCCCCTTTTTTTTTTTTCTTTTTTTGTGCATTTTGGGTTGGGGGTTAGATGAAGATGGAGCGTTAGTCCACCTTTTTTAACAAGAAGGAATAACAACTTAGCAGAATGGCTAGAAATCAGCTTATGTTACCTCCATAAGTCCCAGGGTTAGATTGGAGTTTGACAAGGTGATGTAAAATCCCAATACGTGTATGGACCCAAAATTGGTTAGACATCATAAACTTGAAGAGTTATAAAAACTAATCTTTTCATCAAAAACTAATCCAATGATTTTTTTCATCAAAAAAGTTTGAAGAGTTATAAATCCTTAAAACCAATCCTTTCTTTTTTTATCTTCTCTCCCCACACCTTTCCATCCCTCAACTGTTAGATTTAGGATTCGAATCCTAACTGCCAAACTCAGAATTCGAACCCTAAATTTGGAAGACCTAAGGTTCTACCCTTTCATATCTTTAACTATCAGACTCAAAATTCAAACCCTAAATCTGACGACGGCAAGAAAAACTCTAAAAGCTCTACTTGAGTTATAAAACTAATTTAATCCCCATAAAACATTGCAATCTAGCACTGCCAATATACTAACTTCAAGATCCTAATAAAGTCCCTAAACTGTATTGAATCTCTAATTGCATGTTCCAACGAATTTCTGCATCAGATGACTCCACTGAATTACTGTATTGGCCTCTTTTCAGTCCATGCAGTAATATTAACGATTATCTAATCAAAACAAAAATAAATCTTGTTTCTATTGGTTCTGTTGTCCTTTTATGCCACTTTGGTCGCTGCTTAAACTGTGTTGCATGTGAGCCAAGAACTACTTGGATCAATTTTGTTGGGGCTTTACTCATTAATCATGTAGTGAAAAATTGGGACTGAAACTAGTGGAGCCCAAAGTAACAAGCTTTAAAAATTTGCGACTTATAACGAGCTTGAAGCTCAATTTTGGACAAGAATTAGAATTCGATTAAAGTGTCACGTCGAATTTGAACTTGTGTATATTCGGCTGATAGAGCCTCGTAATTTTTGTATCCTTTTTGTGATACTTAATTGATATTTTACAGTAAATTTTCTATTTATAATTGTCTTATGTAGATACTATACAAAAATTATTGACAAAATAACATCAAAATAAAGTAGCATAATTCCAAGATGTCAAATTGAAGTCGAACCAATTGAATATTAAATCAAATCAACCTCATGTTTAAACTTTAAAGTTACGTTGGATCAGGCTGGAGCCCGTAAAATCAAATTCACTTTGGCAATTTTAAAGTTCAATTTGATCCGATTGGTTTATAGCCCCAACCAAAATCAAAGAGCTTAAATTAAGTCTTCCAATCTCAATTCTTAGGTGCAGTTGTTACTTCATTATATGAATGGTTTTCGAATGGGACGAGTCTTTTCTTCTCCTAAATTTTCACTATCTAAAAAAAAAAATATATATATATATATATATATCTATTCCAATTCATAAATGAGCGAGGACCATAATCCTTAACAACCCCCCCCCCCCAACAAAAAAGAAAAACAAACAAACAAAAACCCAAAAAAGGGGGGAAAAAAAGGAAAAAAGGGACGACCAATCTTTTCCGGTTTGCACTCAACCAGTGACTAATCTATAATTAATAATTAAACAATCACCAAAGATCCCACCACATCTTATGATCCCAATTGTAATTATGTTATGTATATAATATATATTATATAGCTCAGAACTTGTAAAAATATGGAGACAATATCTAAGAGATCAGATCACCAACTACAAATAATTTAAACCATGTTGTCGAGGAGACATAGAAACAAAGAGGACAGATTTGAAACCCTAAAAAAGCATATTTTAGTAGTTCCAATTTCCAAGAAACATAGAAAAAATTGGATTCCAACTCTTGGGATTCTTAACCTTATTTTTTCTAATTCTGGGATGTTTATGATACAGTGATTAGGCTACAGGTTTAAGTTTAAACAAGATATAG